AGCTACCCACCTAATCTGGTTCGAAAAATCTCTCTGCACTCGCCGAGGGAATAATTTCATTTTATGTTTGCTAATTTTTTTACTATAAAGCATTGGAGACAAATTCTGGGTATGTGGGTCTAAGGAGAGCACACTATTCCTGCCTCCTTCTAAGCTCAGGGGCAAAGAGCTTTTTACTGATACTCCGCTTCAGTTATTGAGGTAAGCCCAACAGTGCCTGTTGCCTGAAGAAGGTAGTTGCTCAAGTTTGTGTCTTTTTTTCCTATTATCTTAAGTCTTCCCTGTGAAAGTATTAACATAAGGCTAAAGTCCAAGGGAAGCTTGTTAATGCTGATGTTATAGGCAATAAAACAATATAGTTATAATTCAGAGGATGGGGGAGGGTGATTGTTATTTCCTACTTATGGCTCCCTAAACAAAATTAGGGAACAAAAGAACCGGAAAGTAATGGGTTTCAGTATTATTACAGTACTCTGCTCTAAGCTCAAGCTGGTGTTATAATTGAGAACGGACTTCCATTATTAACCTGTATCTTCAGAGGCTTATAACTCAGTTATTAGTAAATACGTACAGGAACAGAAACAGCCTATAATGTCACATGGTATTATTCAATCTATACAAATTTGATTTGGTTTAATAAAGCAACTTACAGCGTGGATTCTGGATCCATGCCTGGATTTAAATTTTAGTTCTGTTTTTACAAGCTTTATCCGTACACTAGTTAATTCTCTGAGCCTTACATTACTTTTATGTGAAATGAAAATAATCAAAGTCCACCTACCTCAAAGAGTTGCTGAGAGAATTAAATAAGTTATGTAATATACTTAGAAGAGGTTCCTACACATTTGTGTACTATGTGTATGTTAGCTATTACTATTGTCAGTATCTTCCAAAGTTGATCAGAGTAAAGAGGGGAGGAAAAATATCAAAATAGAGATGCTTTTTTTCAAACTGTGCAGTCTTCAAGATCATGATAAATTTGTCTAGGGAAGACAGTATATCCAATTCAAATGTGAATCACTGCTCTTTTGGAGCAGTATTACTATGTATAATCCCTGGGTGTGTTGGAGTTGTAAAATAAGTCAACAGATACTGCTACACAGGGTCATATATGTATACCAACATACATACAACCTCTAAGTCAGGTGCTTTACATACATTCTATTAAACTTCATGGCAATCCTTCAACCCTGAGAAGAATGCATTGCTTTTCCTGTTGCACACAGAAAGAAACAGCAAAGGGAGAACAGGTGTGAATTTTCCAAGGTCACACAGAAAATAGCACTACTGAGGTTTGAAACCAAGTCTCTTTGTCTGCAACTTTTTTTTAACCCCACCAACCTTCTTTAAAAATATATACATATATTTTGAGCAACCAAGTGCAACAGTATGCGTCTGTGAAATGAACGAACCACTGAACTATATCTGGAGTGTGACTTTAAAGAATGGAATATATTTTTGTTAGTAAGGATTAAGGGAAAAGCAAAGCAGGCTTTTTCAATACTGCAGCCCTGATTCCAAAGGACTGTCTTTGTATATACAGTGTGTGAAAAAGATTATTATTCTGACATTAGTCTTTTCAGTGACTCCTATACACACAGATGGGAGGACATCAAAATGTAAATAGAGACATCTACTATAGCTAAAGATTAAACTGAAGCTGATATCTGTAGCAGAAAAATAATCAGCAAGTGCACGAATCTGACTTTTTTACATTTTATATGAAAGATTAGATGTTTTGTGTATATGAAGATTTACATTTTTAAGGCTGAAAGGAGACCTGCGCTTTGTTTGCAAATGTTGCCTTTTATTAATAAGCACTAAGAACTGAACAGTGCAGGAGAGCTCAAGTTTTAAAGCCTAAGACAAAAGAGAAACAGAGATAAATTTATAAATTAGTAAATCATTTTTTTTTTTGCTATAGAAACCACACATATGTTCTCCAGCCATGATATGTATTTATTTTTTACTAGGTAGAAAATCTTGGCCTTATTCTACTAAACTGGCCCATATTACTCTATTTTTTTGTGGCATCAAGTAATAAAAGTGGACTTGACTTAGTCTAGCAAATGTAAAAGAGAATTTAATGAAAGCATTTTCGGGGACATTTCAAAATACTTGGGAGAATCCAAGGTAAAGGAAACCAATCAAGACTTTTTAAGAGGTAGGGATGAGGGAAGCTCTGGAGACCAGCAGCAGCAATTCTTGAACTTGTTTGGGAGACATAGGGCTCTGTGAATAATAAGACTTGAGTGCAGTGATCCACATTCTGTGTACTTGTTAATGCAAAATTCCACATTCCCAGCTTTGGTTGGGTCCTAGCATTGTATATTTGAGAACTATTCCTAGAGAAAGGGGTGAGGGGGATATTGTGAGGAGCCAGCTCTCTGCAAAAACATCAGTTGCAAACACTACTTCATTTAACATTACTATGTTGTCTTTTATTTTTCCAA